TTTCCCTGACAGTTTTCATTTTTGTTCTGCTGAATTAATCTTGATTTTGTTCTTATCATTCTAAATGAATATAATAGTTTTGGGTAAACATAAATTTGAATTTTCTTTTAGGTTTTTGATTTAGGGAGCTCCTGCTCATAAATTAAAGGTCAAGTCTTGTTGTCTGTTGCATGGATGCTTCCAAGAGAGGAAACTAAAATTTCCAAAGTTGATTAATTCAAATCTGTCTTAATTAACTTGTGTTTTCTAGCTTGAGAGAGACCAGAGCAGGTAAGTCAACAAGATAATGGTCTGCTATTTCTTTTAAGTTGATTTCAGCGTGTTCCACACTTCTAGTTATTTGTATTGTTGAATTGTGCTATCAAACTATCTGGCCCAGTGTACCTTTCTGTTAAAATTTTCCAAACCAGCATCTTCCTTAGCTTAGACTGTCATAGATTCATAACTTCTTTTATGCTAAACACATAAAAAGATAGGAATTAAAGGGTTCTTTTAATAATATAGTACAAATAAGTAAATTTTTGTAACACAATTATATTCCGAATAATTACATTCATCCCTAATTTCAACATAACCATTTCACACAATCGTGTTGCATTACTTCTCTGAAAATAAGAGAGCAAATCACCTTGGGGGGTTGTTTTAAGTTTCGGTATGCTTATTCATACTTCGAGGACTCAACTTCTTGATTCTGTCTTGCTGGTCCAATGATAATAACAAATAACAAATCAAAGTCTGTTTGTGTGGTTTGCATCTTTGATTGTAAGAAGAGCTGACTGCAGCTTGCTATGAAACCAGATAGGAGTACAAACTGAATTCTGATTTATGTGTGCTAAATTATAATTTATGTGTGTTTTATTCTATCATTTTGGTGTTTTGCCTGTTTGATTCCAGCATTTAGTTTGTAAGGAATGAAGAACAAGCTAGTTGCAACAGAAATAAGACTGAAATCTAAATTCTGCAAGTTTAATGCTCTTATTCTTATCAGCATGTTTAGTTGATAGAATTGTTATTTCTTAATCAAATTATAAAAATGAGATAAATTATATAGAAATAATGCTAGTAATTTTGTTCCTTTTTTTTAGGTTTTGGGTTTAAGGGGCTCCTGCTTATTATAAGTAAAATCAAATGTCAGTCTTCTTTTCTCCGTTGCATTCTCAATATAACTTTAATAGGATGCTTCCAGGAAACAAGATTTCCAAGGTTGGTTTATTGACTAGTGTTTCCACGAGGTACCAGAGTAGGTAATTAAGTTAACAAGTCAGTGGTATTCCATTTCTTTCACTTGAGCGTGTTCTAACTTCCACACACTCATTTTTTTGCATCTATTGTTGAATCGTGAAGATCCACCTTGCCTTTTGGTTAAAATTCGTGAAACTGGTATCTTCCTTTTAATCTTCACCCAACCCGACTCTAAATTAATGCCTTCTCCTTATTATTTCTTTGATGTTCCTCGTAGTTATATGTAAGTAGAGCAGAATGGTTTTGAGAATTGAGCAGACACCACTACAAAAGATTAAATTTCCTTGACGCAGTCTTCAGTTTGGTTGAGCTTCATCTTCATTCTGTTCTTTTCACTTTCAAAACTCATGGTTTTGGGTATAGGGTCCTTCTAATTAATTATCACAAGATGTCAAGTAAACGATCACATAAATTATTCTTTCCAAACGACATTATTTGGGCAACGTTTAGTCTCTATGGTTTTATTTTCTTTGAAAGAACCCCAAATAGTTAGTCTTTGTCTTGATGAGATTTTCATCTGTACCATTTGCATCACATGTTTAGTCTCAACCTCATCTTTGATGGAATTTGAAAATGAAATTCACAAATGAATCAAATATTTAAATTTGCTAAAATACCCCTTAAATTTAAACTATGTTACCCTTGCTTTCTAAATACTAAAAAGGATACTTCAAAGGAAAACTAATATTAGATCAAGTTTAGTGAAATGAACCCGCCAACTTACATGAATTCCTTCACATTATTTCTCTCCTTCCATCGGTGTTCCTTACAATACTTGCGCACCATTCACCACAAGAAAATGACATGAGAGTGATTTTAGCAAGTGGAAGAGATGAGTAATTAAATAAATAATAAAAAAAGGCCTATCTTAGCTTTAAATTTTTGTTTATGCTAAACATAAAAAAATAAAAAATAAAAATTGTAGGGTGCATCTAATCAGAATTAAAATAATTAAATCTAGATTGTAGGGTGCATTAAATCATAGTCCAAATAATTTGCCTAAGAGTGCAACATAATCATTTCATACAAATCATATTACCTATACTGGTATCTTCCATGAATCTTCTCCTTCTACCTACGGTAAATTAATATTCTTTGATGTGGCCTTCTACAACCTTTAATATGTTTTGCTGAAGTTCTATATAAGTAGCTAGAATGCTTTTGAGAACCCATCAAGCATTACCAAAAAAAACCTTAGTTACATGTCTACGATATTTCCCTAATACACTTTTTCATTTGGGTTCTCCTTCATCTTTGATTTTATTTTCATCACTTTCAAAATGAAGATTCTGGGTGCAGGGTTCCTTAATCTTGTCTATGCACTCTTGATTTTACTACATATGCAAACTTCAATTGGATCCAATTCAACAACAGCTGATGATGGAGTTAAGTGTATAGAGAGTGAAAGACAAGCTCTTCTCTCATTTAAGCAAGGTCTGGTTGATGAACATGGATGGCTTTCCTCATGGGGCAGTGAAGAAGAGAAAAAGAATTGCTGTGAATGGGAAGGAGTTCAATGTAGCAACACAACTGGGCACATCACTATGCTTAATCTAACCACATATTGGTATGACCGTCATTTTATCTTAAGAGGTAACCTTAGTCCTTCTCTATTTGACTTGCAGCATTTAATTTATTTAGACCTTAGTGGGAATAATTTCAACTTAAGACACATTCCAGAGTCTATCAGGTCACTCAACAAAATACAACATCTTGATCTCTATCATTGTAATCTAAGTGGATCTCTTCCTAGTCAGCTTGCAAACCTCGCAAGTCTGCAATATCTTGATCTTAGCTATAATAACTTCAACAGTGTCAAAAATCTTGAGTGGCTCTCTCGTCTTTCTTACTTGCAATACCTTGGTCTGAGTGATATCGACTTTATTAAGGTCAACAAGGTTGGGCTGCACGTAATTAATAAGCTTCCTCATCTAACTAACCTGTCTCTATATAGATGTAATCTTCGAGATGTCAATCCCCAGAATTTCCCCAAAATTAATACTTCTAGTACTTCTCTTATTGAACTTGGTCTAGGAAGCAACAATTTGACTACTTCTGCATTCCAGTGGTTGTTCAACTTTAGCAACAGCCTTGTTAGTCTCGACTTGAGTTCTAATCAATTTCGAGGTCCAATTCCAGAAACTTTTAGTCACATGACTCTTCTGGAAGAGTTATATCTCGATGATAATCAGTTTGAGGGGGAGATTCCAAAATCCTTTTGGAGTGGTAACTTGTCATCACTGCTATGCTTGTCGCTTTCAAACAATAAACTGAGTGGTACTGCATTCCAATGGTTGTTCAACTTTAGCAACAGCCTTGTTAGTCTCGACTTGAGTTCTAATCAATTTCGAGGTCCAATTCCAGAAACTTTTAGTCACATGACTCTTCTGGAAGAGTTACATCTCGAAGGTAATCAGTTTGAGGGGGAGATTCCAAAATCCTTTTGGAGTGGTAACTTATCATCATTGCGAGACTTGTGGCTTTCAGACAATAAACTGACTGGTAATATACCCAAAAGCATCGGCTTGCTGTCAAAGCTTGAGTTCTTGTGTATTTCTTTCAATTCTTTTAATGGGGTGATCACTGAGGAACACTTCTCAACGCTATCTAATTTACGGTTCTTGGGCATGTCTTCTAATAATCTGAGCATCAACTTCAGCCGTGACTGGATTCCTCCATTCCAGTTGGAATATATTAGTCTTGGGTCTTGCAAATTGGGCCCTGATTTTCCAAGCTGGTTACAGACCCAAAGGAACTATCGGGTTCTTCATTTTCCTGCAACTGGAATTTCAAATAGCATCCCCATCTGGTTTGGCAAGCTTCCTTCTACGGCAGAACTTATAGATCTTTCTTCCAACCAAGTCAGTGGAATTCTTCCAAATTTGTCAAGGAATATTTCATCTAATTATTATGCCCTTGGGATAGATTTAAGTGGAAATCGTTTGGAGGGTCCATTACCGTCATTTCCTGCTAAAACCACCCACATAAACCTCTCAAAAAATAGGTTTAATGGGTCAATTTCTTCTCTGTGTGCTATGACTGGTATGTCTCTTGATTTCCTCGATCTTTCAAGCAATCAACTATCTGGAGAGCTTCCCGATTGTATGATGCATTGGTCAAGTTTGCAAATTTTGAATTTGGCTGACAATAACTTCTTTGGAAATTTTCCGAGTTTTGTGGGATCTCTCTCTTTGATTGAAACCTTTGATTTGCAAAACAACAACCTCTCTGGGAAAATTCCTCGCTCTTTAAGGAACTGCAGTAAATTGCAATTTCTGGGTTTGAGTAATAATAGATTGTCTGGAATAATACCAAGTTGGATTGGAGAAAGGTCAAATTCACTAAATTTCCTCCTCCTAAGTTCTAATCATTTTGTTGGAGAAATCCCATTGGAGATATGCCAGTTGACAAATATTCTGCTGCTGGACCTTTCTTATAACAACCTCTTCGGACCCATACCATGGTGCATTGGTAATCTGACTGCTTTGGCCAAAAAGGAAATTTCAGCCAAACATCATTTCTGCAATTCTTCACTTGTTCATTGCTATTTTGATCGTGAAGGAAGCTATGCTGACAAAGCATCTATTATATGGAAAGGAATAGAACATCATTATGAAAATCTCACACTTCAAAGGACCATTGATCTTTCAAGCAACAAATTAACTGGAGAAATCCCTGTGCAAATTGCAAGTTTTTCTGAACTACATCAATTGAACTTATCAAGAAACCATTTAACTGGAAAGATTCCACTAGACATTGGGCAGATGAGACAGTTGGAGTCGCTTGATCTTTCACACAACATGCTTTCAGGTTGGCTTCCTTCAAGCATGTCCAAGTTACAGTTCCTTAGTACCTTGGACCTGTCATGTAACAACTTTTCTGGGAGCATTCCATCTAGCACTCAATTGCAGAGCCTTCCTACTTCTGCATTTGTTGGTAATCCTGCACTCTGTGGACCTCCTCTCCCACAAACATGCCCCACTGATGAAAAGCCTGTGGATGGTGGTGTCAACTACAATCAACAAGATGAAGATGAATTATGGAATGGGTTCAAACCCAGCATGGAAGTTGGAATGGCTTTTGGCTTTCTGGGAGTTCTGGCTATCAAGTTAGATCATCCCTGGAAAAATATCTGTTTCCTGGTGTTCAACTACATGAAGGTTCACCTCAGCAACTTGAAGGACTACCTCCTTTCGATTGTGGCAGCACTTTGTTTGGTGATTACAGTGAATGCGGCTAGATTGCAAAGAAAGTTGAAGTTTTAGGAGCCATCCAGGGGTCGGTATGTTTTTAGTTTGTTTACGAACTTTTATGTCATCTTGTTCAATTGCATTACTTAATTGGAAAATAACAGAAGAGAGAACCTTTAATTGTTGTTTTTAGGTTCAAGATGCTTCCTCAGGGACTACAAGGACTGCTCTTGAGAGGTGAAATTCCAGGGCTTCTTCAGGCTACCACGGTCGTCACAGCAACCTTTTTTATTTCCTTTGTGTGTAATAAATTATAATTTGTTGTATGGTTTACGGTTTTATGTATGTATAATTAATTTCATCATCTAGTTTGTAAAGAATGAAAAACAAGTTATGTGCAATTAAAATAAGATCAAAATCTGAATTGTGGAAGCCTTTAATTCAGCAACTCAGCAACTTCAATGCTTTATGTTAATCAAGTTTAAATTTTCATTTGCATTATATTTTCAAATTTGAATTAATAATCTCGTAATATATACTTTACCATTAAATTTTTCTGTTATTATTTATGTTAATTCAAATAATTTCAATTTTAATTTTGATTAACCCAATGCTTATTGTAGGTACGTACAATAGTCAATAGGACTAAAACATTCCATGTGGTCCATCTTCTTCCTTTTTTTTTTTTAAATAAAAAAACGTTCAATACGATCCCAACTCCGAAGACATTAGTAATACTAATCAAATTATTCTGTTTTATTAAGAAAAAGTCAATATCTCATGTACAATTGAACCTCTAAAATGTTTTTTGAGTTTGATTACAAAAAAAAATTACTTCATATTGTTAATAATGATAAACATGCTTCTCAAGCTCAGTTTGATAAAATATTTTCATGGTTTGGACCGAAAAAAATCAAGCTCATTATTACATTTATTTTACCTCTTTTTTTTTTTTTCGTTTTGCTTTTCTCCTAAATAAGCTAAACCGAAACAATTTTTTATTTTAATCTCAATAAATGAGAAGAAGATTTCAGCTGGAAATCATGGGATTAACGGCTTAACCAGTACAGTGGCAATTTCGTAATTAACCAAAAACCCCAATAGATCCGTCCCCAGAAAATTGTCCGTCTTCTTCTTCGATCACTACACAACCGTCACTCTACACTCTTCCAAACTCTTTCTCAGACATAGCCATGGCGGATTCAAAGTCTCCGTCAGCAGCAGCGAAGCATCATTCACTGACAAAAGCAGAGGCGAAGGCAATCTCTTCACTGTTCACCACACGGGGAACGATGGTGTTTGCCTATGGCGTCACATTTGCTTTTGTTGCCTGTACGGCTTTCTTGGTGCTAAATCCATCTTCCAATTCCTCTCCTTGGATAAAAAACTTCCTCAAGTCGTCGTCTTCCAGTTCCCGGTTTTCCTCTCTTTTCTCTTCTTTTGTTTCTAATTTTTCCCAACCCGATGGCAACCCACTTCCTTTCACTTACCGACCGGCCGCCCCTTTCCGGGTTTCTTGGGAAAGCAGTGGATTTGGTGACAAAAATGGGTCTTTGTCCGGTGATGGAGAAAGTCGAGTGTCGGAGGATGTTCGGGCATTCAATCAAACGGGTACTT